AAACCGAACAACAGAAAACACACAACAAGTACCTATAGACCGAAGCAAACTGCGCAGATGCAAATCGTGATCTGGCTGGCGTTTCGAGGCCCAGCATCCCTCGGCGCCCAGCAGATAAAATCCCAAGGCATGACCATCAAACCTAATAACTTTGGGCGCAAGAACGACGAATGGGAAAGCGATGTGTACAACGAGGATATTCACCATCACAGCGGTGAGAATACTCCCTCTAACACCCCTACAATGACCCGAATCCTGTACATACGAGTTTTCTTTTGGTGATAAAGACAGACGAGAATTGCAACACACGGCGAAACGAGAAAGGAAACAGGTTAGCTATCGACCGGAGTCAAGATAAGGGAAGTTTCATTTTATTTCGTTTTTGTAAGCAATGGAGACACGAATCTTCGAATAAATGAAGAGGTACAGGCGAACACAAGAGAGATGGAGAGAGAGAGGGGGAGGAGGGAGACATAACGAGGGATGGAGAGGAAGGAGAGATAGGGGGGATGGAGGGGAGAGAGAGAGAGAGAGAGGGAGATGGAACGGAGAGAGAGAGGGAGGGAGATGGAACGGAGAGAGAGAGGGAGGGAGATGGAAGGGAGGGAGAGAGATGGAGGAGGGAGGAGGAGGGGATGGAGGGAGGGGAGAGAGAGGAGGAGCAGAGATGGAGGGAGGGAGGGAGGGATGGAGGGAGGGAGAGAGAGAGAGAGAGGGAGGAGGGAGGGAGAGAGATGGAGGGAGGAGAGGGAGAGAGATGGAGGGAGGGAGGGAGAGAGAGGGAGAGGATGGAGGGGGAGGGAGGGAGGGAGAGAGAAAGATGAAGTGAGGGAGGAGGTAGGGAGAGAGAGATACAGAGAGCGAGAGCGAGATAGAGACACAGAGAGAGAGCGAGAGAGAGAGAGAGAGAGAGAGGAGAGAGAGAGAGAGAGAGAGAGAGAGAGAGAGAGAGAGAGAGAGAGAGAGAGAGAGAGAGAGAGAGAGAGAGAGAGAGAGAGGAGGCGAGCGACATCTCTCGCATAAAGAAGCCGCAGTGGTATCTGGGCTGACATTCTGACTATCAGGAATTTAAATGCCTTATACGGTAGCGTCGGACGGTGGAAACCCGCTTGAGAATCGAGTCTAACCGCACTTATAAATAAATAATCAAAATATCGGTCTATCTCTCGGTTTCCCTCCAACAAGTTCCGAGATAAAACTTTTGTTGATACAGATGGTCGCCTCCCTCATAGCGCAAGTCTGAAAGCAAGGTTTTCGAAGCCATATGTTCGGAAATTCTCCGTTAGTTCTAAGCTGCGTCCCGCTGGAGTAAAAATGAGCTCCGAGCCATACACTAAGAGCTCGGGTGGGTGCTGAGGTCGCCGCCGCGTGGTTAGGCGGCGTTCTACCCCGGCAGGTGATGCTGGGGGAGGGGGTAGAGGGGGGCCGAGAAGGGGGGAAGGGGTCAATATACAGTTGCCATTAACCCCATCTCGGAGTGGATACATTTATAATGCAACATCTTACTTTCTACTGCTCGATTACGACAGTCATTACCGCACATGTGAACTTGATTTCGTCTCGATAATTAGACATGCGTGTAATTACACCGTACGACAGTTTGGCCCGAAGTCTGCCATGAGCTCTACATCCCCTGCCAGACGCCCACCTGTTGATGTCTCCTCTGTCCGCCATGTTGGCTTATTTAACCTAACGTTTCTCCTATTTTCACTTAGTCTAGCCCTCTTACTACACAAATAATGCATTTACATTGGTATTAAACATCACCTCTTTGTATATACGTGATAAACAGTTACTCACAGACAACGTGACGTAAACAAACACCAATTTCCCGAAACATTTGTTCCAACACTGGGATAGTATCTTAAATCTACATATTTCTTTCTCGTCATGCATATCCCTGGAGGACAGACGATGCCAAGTGCGTATTCCAAAAATGGCAAAATCTAGTCCATGCACAGGTAGCCATTAACACTAAAAACAATATCTGTATTTGCGATTTGGCAAACATGCAAGTTACGACACACGTATGCGTAACAACACACACGAGAACTGTTATAATTTCTCAAGAGCTTTCATGGGCAGTTTACAAGGCATGCAACACACACACTTATGCCAAAATAGTTACACGAACTTTCTGGTACTCCGAACAAAGAATTAGGCTATGATAGGACTTTTATTTACAACAGGGCTACTGGAGTCGGCATGCTCTTTGATCACAAGCAGGAGTGAGAATGCAGTGTCTTGCGATACGATAGCGCCATGCGGGAGAGATAAGATAAGGGCGTATGATAAAGCAAGCAGGACACACTAGCGCACGTGCGGCCCACACATGTGCGAGCCACGGCTGCTAGGAACACACAGCTGCGTCTAAAGCTCAAACACCTGTGAGAAAATCTACAGCTAAGTCAGAGAAGGAAAATGTCAGCTGTTTCTCTAGAGCTACAGCCAGCAACACTACTGAATAGTCATGCACACTTAATTCCTCGATATCCACTACCTTTCTACTGACGGCGTCCCACACCAAGAACTGCATTATGACGATATCTTCTTCGTCTGAGCCAAGCAAGGGCCCGTTCGCCCCTGCTGTAGCTGTGTACGTTATCACAAAATAGGTCGCCATATTGAGAACACACCAACCCCAAAACACAGCAGCGCGCGCCACAAGCCGGTTTTTTAGTGATACCTCTGAACCGAATCCTGTCCCACCCCTGTGTATATCCCACTACCCGAAACCGAACACCAGAGAAAAATATAGTTAAGAGAGAGAGCCGAGTGCAACCCTCCCAACACCGCACGCCTCGACCACTGAAGACCCAGGTAAGAGCCGCCCCTACACCTGTTTGCACGGATGCCAAAGGTCGCTCTACGATTCATTAAACTTTTCGCATTTTTATATAAAAATGATACACTACTGGGTCTCTCAATTGGCTTGCGTGATGTACAAAGTATTCGTAATAACTAATACATAAATTTGTTCGAGAACATATATAAGAATGATGAATCAGAAGCATATTGTGTTATTTAAAGATCGCATTTGGATATTTTGAGGTCTTGTGGGCGTGGTTAAGAGTGCGAGCCACGTGATTGGCTACTGGAAAACATCCTGTGTTGTGATTGGCTAAGGGGTAGAGGGTGGCATAGCCGGCCGGCAAAATACAACATATGGTATAGTTATTAGATCAACTTATGTTATTGCGGTTCTTAATTCACCAATATTCGCAAAGAAACAGACAATTCCCAAACAGGTAGGTTGAAGGAGAGTTGCAAAACTGGCAGCTCCATTTATCACTCATCAGACATGGTGGTTTAAGCCAGTTTCCCCCTCATGAAACGACGGGAGTGTCAGAACCTCGTTTGTGGAAACATCAGCTGGATTCAAACACCGCAAACGTCAGGTCGTGGAATTACTATGAAGCATTTTCCCACGTCAGCTGATAAGGGGATTGTAGCTGATAACGTAAATGCTAGAGAGAAGTAATAGTAAGGGTTAGTAGGCGGAGGAGTGCGTCAGGCTTGCTCGTAGCCTAAGGGCCTGGCCGGGACGTGCGCGTGGCTCCCCTGAATGTTAACACTAGCCTCGCCAGGGGACAATTACCTGTCTTGTGTATAGATTGTATAGTAATCCTTCTCCAAGCCCGCTATGGCGCATTCCACTAACCGCACGTCCATTTTACCAATGATTGGGGATTTACAGAGCATGTTGATTGAGGTGGTCTGACCGAGACCGAATTTCTGATGTCTCTTTTTATAACTTTATTATTAATTTCCCAACTGTAATGAGATATTCTGATATTTAAATTCAATATCTCCTGAATGCTGGCTTGTTTCTCGAGGCAAAGACACCGAGATGCCAGCAGCTACTTCCCCCCTAACCCTCCCCTCTCCTCCCCCCCCCTCCCCTTTCACCCTCCCAAGAAAGCAGTTAAAATCCCGGTTTGCTGGTGAGTTGGGAAGACAGAACAGAAGGCCAGTACCAGTCATCTCAGAACTGGTGACCACTATCACAACATCAGCACTCAGGTTCTAGAACTCGTTTTGTAAACTTGTGTATGAATACATCAGTCAAAAAAGAAATAAAATTGCGACATGTCACGACTGAGGAAGGTTTGATGTCCCAATAAGACATTTGTGATGACTACATATTGTGTAATTTTATGTAAAAATATGCAGTGTGAGCAATAACTGTGTGTACATATAAACAATGCTAATAGTACTGCAAATCAAAGAAATATAATTTTGTAAATTGCATTGACAGTACTTGTAATTAAACACCTAAATAATTCGAACGGTTATTAACACTGATTATAATTTGTTAAGATGATTAACTTTGAATCTTTTGATAATTTTACCATGAATATCATTATCATTTGCTATGCTGCTGTTATTGTGGAATGATAATAACAGTAATGAACGAGAATATTAATAAGATTACATATTTCATGTTTTATTCGCAATATAATTATCATTCACCACTTCCACTACTACCATCATCAGTCTCACAGCCATAATTATTATCACTACACTCAACCGACACCACCAATGTCATCATCATTATCATCATCGTCGTCGTCATCGTCCTTATCACATCAATTTATATAATTATCATAATCCCTACTTTTATCAAGAATATATATCATTATCATAATCATTGATATTTGCAAAGATTTATTACTCATACCCATAATATAACTCATAATAATGATAATAGTGTATGAATAATAGTTATGATGCTGATAGATGCCTTAAAGTTATAAAGACAGTGTTGCTGTAATAACAGTAAAAGTAATGATATTATCAACAGAAAGATTATCATTAATTCTAAGAAATGGTAATATTACTACTAATAACAGTAATGGTAATATGATTATATTTATATTGGCGGTCATGAGGAACGATAATTATAATAATAATCATATCATTGCTAACTTAATGATGATTATAGTAATTATATTGATAATCTGCTAATAAGGATATGTGTGATATTGATAACGGCAACAATTTGGAAAATAAGAAGGAAGAGGAAGTGGTTATTAATACTAATGATGTTTGTTCTTGTAATTAATTTCGGTAATGATTCATTGACAAACTATTGCTGCCGTAATTGATATTAGTATGATAATAATGGAAAATGTAATAATGTTACTGAAGATAGAAGACACCATAGAAACACGATAATACACTGATTATTATTCACTAAAGTATTGATTTGTCTTGTTAACACCATTATTATTATTATTATTATTATTATTATTATTATTATTATTATTCCGTTTTGCTTCGTCGAATGGCATCCCGCTCCTCAGATTCCTTCTATGAATAGTGATTTCTTAATTTGAGCATCTAAAGATAGAATTTTTGGATGGATGGAAGAAGGGTGAAAACCTTGATTTTTTTCATAACGTACTTTGCTAATTTTTTTAATATGGATATACAGAAAAACACAATACAGTTGACTAAAGAGGGTGGAAAAAGAAGCATAAGCTGCAGTATATATATATATATATCCTAACTTTTTGAAATTCTTTCCAAACGGTCACGTGTTCGACTTCTAGCGTTCTTGTTCATCTGCGTTGTCTCTGGGAGATTATCTGATGAACGGTGTTAGTTTAAGGGAATCGCGTCGAAAATCCATGTTTTCAGGTGGCGTTTCGGTAACAGTGTCATGATGAACCTTATGCCAATTTGCCTGTTTATCTTCATATAGGCGGTACTATTGTGATTATCCATAACTATACATATACTTGTTGCCTCTCTGGAGTCATCGTTCAGTGCTTACGCCCCACTGTTAAACAGTATAGATGGTTAAGAGGTTCTACAACACCGTTGGTTCAGATCCAGGCGGTGGTTAACCTCTGCTGTGTCATTCTTTCTTACCACAAGCCTTCCGCATCAGTGCCTTGGTGGCTACTACAAGGATTCTCATCAGCACAGGATACATACATCGCCAGTGGAGTCGAAGTCAGAAGCTGTAGAAAAATAGATGCCGGAACAGTTGCTGAAAAGTTAATACCAAGCTATATGGAGAATAAGCAAGGTGAATTCACACTACGTTTGACAGCATTCCCAACGTCTCTGAGGATGGTAAAATTCCGATTCATTAATCTCTGGAATTAGTCGCCAAATATGCTGATTAACAAGCTCTCGAATTTTGTGTAGGTTACCATGCAATGTTACGGAGGACGAGGATCCAGCACCGATTCCCTAACAGATGGCCATAAACTTTGGTCAGAAGCAGATGAGTGTTTCTTGCAAGTGAACCGTGTTAAACCTCGATAATCGCTGCAGCTCTGTCGCTCTGTCGCTTTGGACTTTCCTAACACATCGCTTAAGCTCTATTTGTCGCGTTGAACTTTCCTGACAGAATACTAAGAGAGAGATCCAGCGAAAGGGACATTGTATCAGATTCAGTCAGTTTATTAGTGATAAGAGATACGACAGCTGTTTTTTTTTTAAAGTCTTTACTCTGGCCATTACTATTCCCACCGCAGTGAGGGTTGGCGAGGCTTCTTTGAAGGGCGTGGCCACACCTTGACGGCTGCTATGGATCACTGCTCAGCTGGAGGGGCTGCCAGGAAGCAGCTCAAAGTACTTAGCCCACCTAAACCCTCTTCCGATTAAACCGTAGAGTGTGGAGTGAAGTCGCTTAAATCATTACACACAGGAAGAGAGAGACAGAGACAGAGACAGAGGCAGAGGCAGAGGCAGAGGCAGAGGCAGAGGCAGAGGCAGAGGCAGAGGCAGAGGCAGAGGCAGAGACAGAGACAGAGACAGAGACAGAGACAGAGACAGAGACAGAGACAGAGACAGAGACGGGGAGAGACAGACAGAGACAGAGACAGAGAGAGAGAGAGAGGAGAGAGAGAGAGAGAGAGAGAGAGAGAGAGACAGACAGACAGAGACAGACAGGCAGACAGTAGGCAGAGACAGAGAGGGGGGAGAGAGAGAGAGAGAAAAGAAAGAGAGAGAGAGAGAGAGAGGAGAGAGACAGACAGACAGACAGACAGACAGACAGACAGAGACAGAGGCAGAGACAGACAGACAGACAGAGAGGGGGGGGGAGGGAGAGAGAGAAAGAAAGAGAGAGAGAGAGAGAGAGAGGGGGAGAGAGAGAAGAGAGAGAGAGAGAGAGAGAGAGAGAGAGAGAGAGAGAGAGAGACAGAGTAGAGAGAGAGAGACAGAGACAGAGAGAGAAGACAGAGAGAAGAGAGAGAGAGAGAGAGAGAGAGAGGAGAGAAGAGAGAGAGAGAAGAGAGAGAGAGAGAGAGGAGAGAGAGAGAGACAGAGAGAGAGAAGAGACAGACAGAGGCAGAGACAGACAGACAGAGAGGGGGGGGGAGGGAGGAGAGAGAGAGAGAGAGAGAGAGAGAGAGAGAGAGAGGGAGAGAGAGAGAGAGAGACAGAGACAGAGAGAGAGTGAGAGAATGGATCATCACGACATATGTCAGATTTTATGGCATTTACAGAACTTTTTTACTCAAGATGCAGACGTTCGCTGACAGAACTGTTTCATTTAAAAACGCATTTGGCTGCCTGACAAGACTGATTGTAATAGAACTTTTGACAATCCTTGGAACGTCCATCCAAAGCTATGTTCTATGTCGGCGTCTAAAAGCTAATAGGGAATTATAAGCAATTATGTTTTTTTTTTTTTTTTTTTTTTTTTTTTTTTTTTTTTTGAGCTAATATTTGTTTGTGAATATGATAATGATTAGAAAATATATGCTTATTTAAGGTCATCTGATACCGTTAAATTGGGAAATATAGAAATAGTATTGATAAATGTCTATGGATCATGAACGGGATTTCAGAA